TGGCTGTCTGTTTTCAAGATGTTTGAGTTGGGTTTTTGGATTAGGGAACTCCATTTCTTAGGTCTTTTGGTAAATGACTGCATCAATGGCTTTTCCACCTGTAACAACATGACTTTCAAAATATCCGAAATTTTGTTTTTGGAATAAGTCACTAGGTTAAATATCCTAGGAGTGTTTTATTTCCGGTCATTCGTATTGCTTTAGCTAACACATTTTGGTCGCTTGCAGGCTTTCCATCGCATAACAAGCCGTGGAATGCGAACCCAAAATCAAGAAGTAATTTGTGAAAAAATCCCATAAAGAGTTGTAATTGTTTCATCTATTATGGGTATTATCTTTAAACTAAAGTGGAGCAAGTTGGTGATAATTAAAATTGTAACGGAGCCTGACAACAGTAAAGTTTTTTTTAGACCGCTTACTTTACAGTTTTATGACACACCATATAATTTCCTGCAACGACAGAGGTGTGTGACAGCACGTTTTCGGTGAACTACAATCCTGATTATCACTGGTGCCTAAATATTGGTGAAACTGGCTAATAAGATTAATGAAAGCACGAAGATGACAGTGTAGCCACTTAACTGTAACATTTCAGTCATGACTCTTCTATTTCAAATGGAATTATATGAGTCAAAATTGAACTAATATTTCCGGCTATGGCGCATTTCAAACAGCAGTTGCTCATATACGCACTCATTTAGGTTGGACAAATATTAAGTTTGAAACTTCATATCTTGATTGTTAACCTCGTTATGAGGTCAAATATGCGAAGCCAAATTGGCTTGTAAAGAGAACACACAGTGGTTCCAATGTACCTTTGCGAAAGGCAAAGCTTCGGTATCGTTGGCAAGAGTTGAACAACGTTAACAAGAATTGTACAGATAAGGATAACTTACAAAGACTGCTCAGGTGATGTTGAAACGAAGGTTGCGAGAAGAGACAACAAGAGGTAATGGGACACGTCTATTCATTAGGTTGGTAGAAATATCCCGTACGTAGATAAGGTGCATACGAAAATTAGAGAGTGAAGAATTGTGAAAGTAGACCTACTGTAGGGACTAAAAACGGCAACTGGTGCTAACTGATAAACCCTAAATGCAAAGGAGGCGCAATACACGTGGTAACAATGCAGAACCAACAAAATTCAATTCCCATTTGCAATCATGATCCAGCAGTTAGTACTTAACTTTTGATGCTTATAAACTCGATTCATAATTCTATTATCGTCATCATCTTGTAAGTCCAACAGGTAGTGAAAATTGCTTCCTCTCTAAGAGCTACAGGCCATGTATAATTGAATCCAATCTGAAGCAAACCTCTTCAGCAAAATCAAAAGCAACTAGATTGCTGAAAAATTTAACACATTAGCCCATTAGGCAGATTTGCGTAATTATCCCGCAAGATTTAAGGTTGTGAATAAAAACCTAACTTATTTCTGTAAAGTGGTAAAAATGGGATAAATTATGCATAGTCAATTACAAAACCTTCGCCTATTTTATATTAATTTTATTGGATAACGATTGTATCGTGAATTAGACTGGGTGGCACCTGTTAAATGTCAATGAAGGACATTTAATTACAAGGCAATGAAAGTGATACCATTAAATGGCGCCTGGGGGTAAAGTTTCCTGTAAGAAAATGGAAAATTTTGTACACTCCGATTTTTTTAGGAGAGTGCCAATAAACCCAGAATGAATATATTTAAAGACCTTTTTTCTGTTGGGTGTTGATGACAATCATGCTCAGCTTACCGTCAATTTCCGTGCCGTCTTCTATTCTTGTAAAAAAAATGCTAACCGGCTAGACTTCAAGTGCAAATCAAAAGCAAATCTTGATCGAAACTGCATTAACTACCAACATTGCAATGAGTAAGGATTATTTAGTGGGTCATTTAGCCGTCAGGTAGCTCAGAAAATAAGCCCAAGTCATTTCAGAGTTTTCGATTACGAATTTAAATCCATCAAATGCAGGGGATTTTGTTAATAATTTATTTGTTTATTTAACAAATGTGCGCCTAAAATGCTAAGAACTGTTCAAATCTATTCAAAAAGTTTGATTTGTATAGGATTATACATACCTGTTGTATAACAACCCCAAAACCACACCAGGAGTCACAGGACTTAAGGTGTAAGACTTATCGATCGATAACAGATTTGGGAGTTGAATCTAGGAGCACAACTTATTTGCGTTAAGTTTTTGGCGAAAATGTTTTTTTTTTACTGATCGCCGGTAGTAGTCAGACGCTAGAGTGGCTGGCCTCTGCCTGTTTTTGTTGATGGTACTTACAAGTGTGAAGTTCACGCTCTAGGCGGACGGTAGATTGGGCGGTGGCGTCGACGATAGGCAGCATGGAATCCACTGATTGCAGATAAAGGTCCACAAGAGAAAGCAGGCTTGGCATTAACTCAGGTTGTTAATACAAAGATTACATGACCTTGAAATCATCACATTAATTTGTGAACGACGGCGAGAGTTGCTAGCGTATATTTTGCGCCAAGTATACATTCGTGATTTAATGGGGATTCAAGTAACTAGTAAATTATTGACAATGGTATTTAACTGAGCTTCAATAAACCAAAGGATTTCTGTGAAATGAGTTTAATAATGCACCCACGTGCTCACTGTTGGTGATGGTAAATCCATTACCCTCATCAGCTTGGGAGACGAATGGGCGAGTAACAGAAGCACATTGTCGTCTGGAACATTACCTGAAGCGTGGTTATTTCTCTCTCCGATGAAAGTGGTCGGACCTCCAGGCTCTTGATGAGATAAAACGGCGTTTATACTTCTAGAAGTAGAGCAATTATGGACGTGTGTAAAAACCAAGTTAAGGGTTTGTGTTTGACGCAGACTGAGAACAGAGTGAGGGTTTATAACACGTAAATATAACTGCAACGAAGCTTGGGATAAGGTAGAGTTGAAGCGTCGGGGCAGACGCCGATACAGAATTCGGTCATTAGTTGCCTGCCACTTATGTCTTCATGATACTGTAGAATAGGTTAGTCAGCAAACATGTCATTTTACGCTCTGGTAGAATAATGCACAGAG